CCCCCCCCCGCCTCGCTCGTAACGCAAGATTCCCGTCTCGACTCTCCACTGCTGGCCCCGATCTCGCCGTCGGGCCTGCCTTCTGCATAGCATGGACCTGCAATATCATTGTCATCACCCACCCATGTGCATACTGTATTATCAGGTGTGGCTACCATTACCACCGGCATTAGTCGTCGTGCGGACACGACGCAAACAAGTACTGTACGAGCTGTTTGTTGTGTTTATAACCCCCGCCCCTTCCCCCTGCCGCATCGAGTGCGTTTTTCGTCTTTCGTTTCTGGTCCCATTCACGCGCCCGCGCGTCGTGTGTGTATTGTCTTTTTAGTGTACCGATTTCCACTTTTTGAGCCACGTTTCGCTATCTGACCCTTATCCCATCCCCCTTACTCCCCCCCCACACACACACCTTGCCGCCTCGCCGCTACCGCCGCCGCCCCTGCAGTTTGTCTCGCATACTCCCCGGACCCGCGCGTGTACGTTCATTTCGGCACTGCTTCTCGCCTCCCCCCACCGTCGTTGGAGGACGCCTTCCGTCCGTCTGTCTGTTGTTGTTGTTGTGTGTGTGTATGTTGCATGCCGTAGTGTACTTGTAATCCCCCCATCCCCACCCTGTGTTTTATGTGCGCGCGTTCGGCTTGTAGATTTTCTGTGTAATACATGTATGCGCAGAAGAGACCCTTGGTGTGTGCAGGATCCCCACTGATGACGGTGTTGCTATCGCTCAATGCTCTTCGCCCTCCGTGCTGCATCTGGATATTGATAGTACTGAGAGCATACGTGTATTAGTAGTAATGCCGTGACTATAGATGCACAGGATGCGGGGTCTACTATGCTCCTCTCGTGCTCTATAAGACACGTTAGCCTAGATGGTCCTGGCAGGGCTCGATGTGCATCGTTGTGTTATTCATGTCGCGGTTGATCGTCGAGTACTGGGTCCTCGTAAAGTGGCCTTGGTGAGCCGCTCGCTGTCTGTCTCTGCTAATTGACTTCGCACCGGAGCTTTTGTCGACGGTGCATCGAGGGCGGGGTCAGCACCCGCATGTCACTGGGGGCGCGCAAATGTTGAATCTGGTGTGCAAACTTCAAATCTTCCAATTGAAGCCTCTCAGACTCGGAATTTCATGCGGGTTCCTGTCAGTGTGCGAGACATTCATTACTGCTGGTGCGAGCCTCCGATACTTCCCTCAGCGCAGCCCATGACCGGTTGACCCTGCGCGACATTGCCTACTACTGCAATGGTGCCGGCCGTATTGGAGATGTCGAATCATTGGATAACTTCTGGAGTCGGACATCAGATGCGCCCGACCCCTTCGCCGACTGCAGTTTCACGTACAGTACAGAGATTGTTAGGGAGTCAGGGCCAGTGCATTTACACCAGGAACATCTTCCTATCGGCCCACTGACGTTTGTTTTCCTTCCCCAATACAGGCGAGTACGCAGCACAACCACCGAGCACGGGACGCCCCAAGAAAGTTGATTACCTGCTTGAGATCGGTGCTCCGCCGGTCGGCTTTGCGTGCGCGGTATGCGCTACCTCCGGACGCACATCCGCCGGTCCTCGCCACAAGTTGTCTCTCGTGACACCAGTGGTTCTACCTCTCTCCATCGGTGAGGGCACTTTGGCATGTACGGGAGAAGGTTTCCAGATTTGAATTTGCGCTGAGCGCGGTGCAAGGAATGGAACCATTTTCATGACACCAGGCTTGAGGACCTTCACCGTCAGCTCGAGCCATCCTATCAAGGGCACCGCAAGGTTCACCGGGCGGAGGTATAAAGCTAGGTCACCTAGTCGCCCATCGCCCAGCAATCCCTGCTACTCTCTCATCGCTTTCTTTCCACAATGCCCGAGCTCTCTGCCGACTGCACCCTCTTGCTCTTGGGCATTCTTGGTCACGACGCCACGAAGTGCCTCCATTTCGATCTTCCGCTTCAGCGTATGCAGGCTCGCGGCGTTTCCGTTCCCTCCGTTCCCTCCGTTACCGATTTCCACGCAATCTTAGAAGTCAAGGACACAAAAGCAAGCCCGCCGTTCGAGCAGACAATCACAATCACAGTCGACGAAATCAAGCTGAAGTTCGAGCACACCGGGACCTTTGACTTCGTCAGTAAGTATTCTTGGTCCTCTCACTGTTCGTCCTCTCATAAACGGTTTTCTTGTCATCACCAGATCCTGATAAAGGAAATCCCGTCAACCTACTTCATAACATGAAACGGAACGGCATATTCTACACTCGGGGCACCTCCGTGGTAAAGCCCGGTCCCACCCATTTCACTGCTCAGCAGTTCCCGAGGTACGGCGGACAGGATGCTGGAAATGACGGACGTGTGGTGCTCTACACTTACACGACAGATGGCATTACCGGTGTGGTACGTGGTTGATATTTCTCAATCCTGCCTCCAAATCATAACCTATGTATGTTGCTTCCTATCTTGCGCAGTTCGTCAGTAAGTGGCCTTTCCCTATTCTTCCCTGAGTGGATGATTGACCGGATGGGTCTATTAGGCGAAGACGACAACTATGTCGTTGGCATTGCCAGCAACAAAGACACCACTTCTTGGAAGGTCATAGCTTAAGTATCGATGATGAACGGATGAAGTGTAAGGCGAAAGGCTGTATGTAGTGTGTGCAATACGCTCACTCGGGCAGCGGCCATCATCAGCATGTATGTTCTTGTTCAACTTGCCAATCAGGCATATCGAGTGTTTTGTGTGGGCATATTGTTACGACGTGTGGACGAGATTCTGTTGTGAAAACCTGCGGAGACCGCAACAGACTCCAGCTATATTTATACGCAGAGGTCGACTCGAGTAGCTCATCCAGTGCAACGGGAAAAACATAAATGCATAACGTATGGGCCTGTAGAAATCCCGCACTCGGAGATTTGACTTGGCAGGAGAATGATCTCTGTGATTCAATGGCTTGGATGATCTGCGGTCGTTCTACATTGTCACCGGAGAGTTATACTTCAAGACACGGAGTTTGAGACTGTGGTAGTAGATCGAGGGATATCGCACGGTGGTCGTCAGAAGTTGTAGAATATCAGAGGACAGTCCATTCCGAGCCTTGATGTCGAATTTTGTTTCCTCTATCGCCCCGCCCCGGGCTGGGCAAAAATAATAGGAATCACGGAAGAATTTGAGCCGTGTAGGCCAAAAAGGTCGACGTATAGCGGGAAGTCCGCCATGCGCATCGACGCTAATTATGACTTACTAGCTGGGCTTCAGCACATACTCGCCGCAGTTTAGAGATCTACATAGAGGGCGACTTGAGGAAAGATTCGGGGTGCGAGCTTGCCATACATTTTCAGCATTCCGCACGTCGGTAAGCTATAGTGACTGCGGGACCTCTCAGGAGGCTACTGTAGAAAGGCAGGAAATCATGGAGGCTTAGTTGCGAAAGTAGTATGGAATGCTGCTGGCCCGTCTCTCTTGTGCATGCTTCCGCGTATGCGCGTAGATTACCTGTGAGGCTAGTCTCCTACATAGTTGTCAAGATACATACAGAGCATCAATGCAGATTTTGTAGCTGCCATTGCGTATGAGCACGACGAACTCTTCTGCTTCCCGTCCGAGTACTGTGGCACATCAAGCCCCGCTATCAACGTAGTATGGGAGCAAATATCCATGAAATGTGCATACCTTCAAGTTACTCTCCTTCTGTCACTAACAAACGCATCACTGTAGCGGGGTTGCTGCGCATCGCCCCAAATGAGCTGGACAAGATCAGAAGGTCCATGAGGTCCACGGACCTATCCCTCATCTGCTTCCAGGATGACGACGGCAGTGGCTATATAGGCTTGCCTGGGTTCGCCTACCAGCTCCACTGCCCTGGTCCATTTTATGTCCCTGCTACTACCCCTCACGTACAGATTGCGCTATGCAAGTCAGGTCTTTGGAGAGGGAGAAAGTGGTACCGGAGAGGGTGCAGTAGTTGCAGATGATTGCTGTGCCTGTGCAGTGTTCAATGGTGGAATTGTGAGGGGCAGTCAGGCTTTACTAGTATATCTATAGTAAATTTATTGAAATATATTTGTCTCTAATGAGAAAACACCTGATGCACCTGAAAATTGGTAAACCTGATCATACCCGAATTCAATCTGAGTGCCACCTGGAGAGAAGAATCTACTGATCAATCTAACATCCTGAAGTACCGGAAAATACCTGATTTCAGATAATTTTAGGTAGTTTCAGGTCAAGGACATTTTGCTAATGCAACTGTATGAGCCTTGTGGGCTTGATGTGTTGAACAAATAGTGAATGCACCTACAAATTCTATGTACAGAACCGCTACAAACGGTTCATGGACACT